AGAAACACCAGTTATCTTTAGCAGCTGGCTCTTGAGGAAGTCTTCTATTGACGGCCATGTGGCTTTCAAGCTACCCCAAATACAAAATCTAAAACTGATGAAACATAAATTGAAGTGATTACTCGCTGTTCAAAAAGATCTGCCAAGGCATCTCTTTAAATTTTTCTTCTGCTTCACTTGACTAGTTTCTTTGATGAGCAGCCTAGCACAAAACCCAGGATTCCACTAATCCTAGAACAGGGCCTGTGGGGAGTGGCTCTTAATAAACATTTTTATATGTGGAAAGAATGTACGAAAGAGCATCTCATATATGAATGGATTGTGTCCCAGAAAAGTACTTGATAAATCAGTTGTTTAGAACTGAGAGTGCAAATCTCCAAAGAAACTATGCAATAAATTAAGATTAAATGCCAAGCTAATTCAATGGTTCATTGACCTCACGAGCATACCAGGGTTTTCCTACTGGTGACAGCAGCTTAAATTCTAAAGTACACGAGTGTACAGGAAGAGGGAGCAAAAAGAACATCTCTTCCCTTACGGGTCATCATTAGCCAAGAAAAAATGTTTGGCAATGGCATTTAGCCTTTGTTATCCTCCCCAAATTTCTATTTCCAAGTTCCTCTTTCTTCAGTAACCAAAATGCCTCGTTCTCTCATTTTGCTTCACCTGTGGCAGGTGAGTTCAAATGCACTCTACCTCCCAGTCTCCTATGTACTAAATAAATGACTTCTTTTTCCTCTCAATCAAAATCTCCATTTCTTCAGGTATATTCACCTCAGTCAAGGGGAGAGGTAGCTATTCTGATTAATTCACACTAACAGAGAAAAGAGTCCCCCACCCCATCTTCCTATGTTTTTGCAACATCATTTGTGTATTATTAAGGTGGATTTTAGGCAGTATAACAAGATGATGTTTAAACATTCGGTCTTGTGAGAGCAGGTTAAATTTATGAATTATATGCCGGCAGAGCTGTGGTGCTCAGAATGTACTAGCCATTTAAAAGTGGATCATTTGTGAGCTGCAAAAAGAGAGAACAGAATAGGCACTTGTCCTCAAGTCTAGCAAAAGAAGAGGGGAAAATTTCCTAATTTCCTGATTTCCTCCATCAGTACATTTCTTAGCAACCTCTCCTCTCTCTTTCAGTAAAAAAAAAAAAAAAAGGAAATTTAATAGATTTGGTTTTGAGGACAAACTCTAATTCAAGTTAGGAAAGGCTCCATTGAGGACTCACTCTGTAAGGTGGCACAGATGGAAGATGACTCCTTGGTGGATGGTCCCATCTAGAATCTATGAGGACTGATCCATCAGGAATGGAGGTGGATATGATGGCAAGAGTCCTTATCCTGATAACTTAGAGCAGATCCATCTAGGGGCTAGAGGTCTGCAGGTCAGTTTGTGATGGGGAATTCACTCCATTAAATATCTGAAAATTGTCATCTGTTAACCTAACATGATGAAAACGGATTGTAATTTTAATTTAGATGACTTAATTCAACAGATGACACGGAAGCGCTAAATTTTCTTGAGTATTATTTAATTGTATTTAGAAGCAATGACCTTTATAATTCTGATCAGTTCTAATATTATAATTGTTACCATCAGAAACGTTTAATCAACATTATTGAGAGCCTACTATGCCCCTGAAAAAAGAACATTTTTTTTCCCCGCATGATGCGGGAGACTGTGGATTATAGAGAAATATTTAATGTTCACATAAAAATCAATAAAAACATGTTTGTATATATTATGATAGTATCTAGTAATATCTTCAATTACAATTACTTTTTTATAATATACCAGTCATCTCCCTCCTAGAACTTAACACAAATAAGTGAAATGAAATTCAGTGATATATTATCCTTCCACACACCAATTCTCTCATTTGGCTTTTTGATTCCATATATTTAAAAAATGCATCATGAGATAGCAACTCTTCTACAAAAATGAATGAAAAATTGATACATTTCTTAGCACAGATAAACTGATAAATTGTATTTAAAGGTGATCAATTCTTGAAAAAGAATTTAAAAGTTGAAATCTTTGTACTACTATAGACTTGGGAAGGGAAGTGGTATTTAAGAGCAGACTTAGAAGATTTCTATTTAGGTGAGGAAAGGAAGTTATAACCAGAAGGAATTGAAGGAATCCAAAGTAAGTCTGTATGCCAGAGAAAACCATAGCAGTTGCTCAGAAAGTATTTATTGAAATCCCCTGTTCTACTATTTATGCATGAGCGGTAACCCAGCTACAATTGCAGCAATGTTGTCACTCAGTTCTCATAGAAGACAGCCATTTATTGTTTTGGTCTGAAATTTAGCAGACCAGTCTTACACCACCAGTCTGTCTTAATTCTCCATCCACAAAACCCAAAAAATGTATTCTGTTCTTTTAAAGTTTATAAACATGCATGAAAAACCAGAAGTTTATGTGTCTAGGCTGCTTTCTCATTGCTTGCATAACTAAAAAATAGGTTTCATTTAAAAATAGAACTTGGCAAATGAGTAGTCCATTGGAATGCTTTAATAAAAATAAATGGCCAAGATATTTAACTTTGAAAAGCATCAACTATACAGGCATGTTATTCCTGCTTTGATTTTTTTTTTTTTTTTTTAATTTGCCACCTCTGAAAAGAGCATGCATTTTCAGAAGACTCATTACACTGGGTAAATTTCACAGACAATGACCTTGCTTTTTTATTTATATGAAACTTTTTAAAGTAATAGATCTTCAATTACTCTACTTCATCAAAATTAATTTTCATTGTTTCCAAAAATCTTTCTTGTTTTTCTCTATACATATTTGTATTGTCATAATTGTATTCAGTGTTCCCATACTTTTAAATTGTTTTTCACTTAACATTACATTATTAATACTTCTCATGGTATTTCATAGTCAGTATTAGTATCATAAATAAAATTTTTGAGTTTTATGCTATCTTAATCTGGTTTGGGGTTTGAATAACATTTACATTTTTAAAAACTGAGAAACTTCCCGTATTTTTATATGTTTCAGAAAAATGTATAAAGCATAGGAATTAATTATTTCTTATAGTTTGAAAGAAATTCAATGAATCTATCAAGTTGTTCTGGGAACTTAACTACTGCAAATCTTAATTTTTCCTGAATTAGTAGTGATTTAAAACTTTTCTCATTATGAGTTTTTAATTTAAATTGTGTGGATAATACCAATTCATTTCATCTACACATTCACATATAGTACATTGTCAACAATCATGTATAGTAATTTATCATAATTTTTAACAGTGTTTTTTGTTTAATGCCTATATATTAATTGCTTTATCCCCTTTCTCATTTCTAACTTTGTGTCAATTTTTGCTTATTCCTTTTATGACTGCTTTCAAAGCATCAACTATTGGTTTATTTATCTATTTTTCAGCTTTCATTTATACCTTTCTTTTCTTTTTATTCTTCTTTCAATGCTTTGTACTTAAATGACTTGATTTATTTTCCTTTCTTTGTAAATCAGCATTCACAAAGCTCTAAATTACCTCCAAGTTTTGCTCTGGTCACACTAGTTAGATGTTTGTATCTAGTTCTAAAATTTTTTGTTATTAGCTAATAGTTTTTTACTGCATCTGTTACTTCTTCCTAGATCTGGTTATTATTTACAAGACTATTTTTGTATTTTGTACTGTTTGGAGTTGAAATTGGAGATGCAAACAAATAATAAGGTTGATTTAAGTCTTTAAAAATACATTGAGATTATTTTTCTGAATCCTCAGAGGTAATATATCTTATACACATTTGTAGACACTTGAAAATCAGATTTCTGGCTGAATAATCTGAAAGGTATGTAAAACAGAATAAATTTATAAATTCCTTTATGAAGTCCTTTTAGTCATATATCAAGCTCCTTGATATGCTAAGGACTACATGTAGTAACATTTGTGTAGTATTTAGCATAGGGCCTAGCATATCATAACAAATCAATAAATAATTGGTGGCAGCGTGTGTAATAATAACAGTAATAGTTCAGTAGTAGTTATATTAGTATGTGTAATAATAACAGTAATAGTCTAGAAGTAGTTATGTTAGTTTGTGTAATAAAACAGTAATAGTAGTCTAGTTGCAGCTACACTAGTATGTATAATAAGAGTAACAGTAGTCTAGTAGTAGTTAACGTGCTTCCTACCTCTTGTGCAGGCTCAGCTGCATTATTGATCTGGAGAAAAATAGTGAGCTGAGTGCTCTTGGCCTGGATTTTCTTATCTATGACATAACATAGCTGAACTAGATACTTTCTGAAGTTATCTCCAGCTCTAACATTTCAAACCTCATTTGTTGACGTTTTCAGGACCCCGACTCTCTACACTAAATGTAGGTCACACATATCCTTTGTTTTGAAGCAATTTGCTCAAGCACTCTTCAGGAGCAAAGTTCTCTGGGAACTGAAGTCAAATATTACCAAACTCGCTATTCTATCTGAAAGTTTTGTACAAGTAAGAATCAATTCATTGATTCTGGAATAAAAGTAAAAATTCCAAAGCTGGTTATCAGCCCTATTTGTGCTCTCCAGGAATAAAAGGAAAATTTCCCAAACAACTTAAGCCAGACCTAAACTGTTCCATCACAAAAGTCTTGGCTGCCATGCTAATTTGTATTCATTTTCCACCATTATTAGCAATTAAAGAATTTAAGAGAAAAGATGGAATACAAACTATTTGCATGGCTGGCAATGGAATCCTGGACATCCTTCCATTAAAATTTATTCACAAAGACCAATATATATCTCCTCTAAGAATATTTATTATTAAGATTAAAAATTATTATTAAGAATGAAAATTTCCCATCATCTACTAACAAGCATATCTAGTAATTAAAAACAAAACAAAACCTTTAAAACCTAATTAAGGGCAATATGTAAATAATCTGATGCAAAAGCAATAAAAATTATGCCTTTATACCTGTCGAAATAAACCCCTCCCTCTGCTGCAGTTTTAATGGTTTTAAATAAGGTATCACAAAAAAACACAGACTTACCTGGGCGATAGACAAAGTTGCCTTCGGTTTCTGATGATGAGGGAGACACTAATTCTTCTTCAAATTCATTGGAACTAAAAGAGCCTGAATGGTTTCTTTGCCTTGTCTTTCCCATCATGACAGCATTTGTGGCCATGACATGTCTCAAAGAGTCGTTAAGGTAACGGTTCAACAAGCTGCTCTTGTATTTTGGGGGTGACACATAGTCCTCATTGGCTCGTGACTCTGGCCTCACTCCAGCTTTTATGGCTGAGCTCTCACTTTTAATCACAGGATGGTGAACTGGATTATTATAGCCCCCTTCATTCATGTGGTTTCTTGGAGGGTTTTCTCCATCTAAGGGGGAAAAAAAATATCACCAGGTAGCATTTGCATACACTTTTCCCCAGCCACCCAACTACTATATTTAATCATTAAAAATACATGCAAAGCAAAAATATTTAAAGTGTGTAAAATTATCCTTGATATTCGAGATTAATTTTTTAGGCAAAGGAAAGGAGGACTGTACATAAGCTCTCCCTACGGTATTTTAATTTTAATGAATTTCATAGAAAATGTTATTCTGACACACAATAAATCTATAAACAAGAGGAAACAGCCATAATTCTGTTGGTCATTTATAGTACTGTAAAAGCAAAGTTACCTCATGCAATAAAAAAGAACCGTTATGGCACCATCATGTTTTGTGGGATCGACCTTAAAAATAGCAATTGAGGTGAACTTCTCATTACAGAGGCAAAGCCAAGAAAGCAAAATAAAAATATGAACAAACCTTCAGAACACGAATCATCACTGCTTACACTAAGCCGCTCAGCATTTCCTTGGACATACTTGTTATACAACTTTATTCTTAAAGCCCAGCTTAAATCTGGCTGTCGAACGGTATTCTTAAGCCGACGTCTTGCATTAGCAAACCAATTTGATACCTAAAAAAGTATTATTTTTCAATTAACAAAACATAAAAAATTATCCATTATCCAATTATCATGCAATTACTTTTCAATTAACAAAACATAAAAAATTTTTCAATTTTTCAACAGTACAATTTTTTTTCAACAGTACAATTTTTTTCAATTTTTTTAATACCTAAAAAAGTATTATTTTTCAATTAACAAAACATAAAAAATTATCCGTTATCCAATTATCATGCAATTACTTTCCCATGAGGGGCCTAAGCCTCTCTCAGTATCTCTGATCATTGAATATTCCCAGGACATAACAGTATTGGACATCATTCCATTCGTTCATTCATTCATTCAACAAATGTGCTGAGCACTTACTAAAGAGATCGAGCACTTACTGTATTCTGGAAATAAAAAAAATAAATAAAAAATAAAGAGACCTTGCCATCAAATTTTCAGTCTAATAAGAGAGGTAGGAGAGTATACAAATAACTCTAATATAAAAAAGAATGTGAAGAATGGCTGAAGAGGCATTAAAATAAAACCATATAGGAGTCCAAAGGAAGGTGGGGTTACTTTTACATGTGACTCAAGTTTTCAAGAGAAATTTAAGGTAGGCTATGGAGGAATATGTCAGGTATAATGTCCCCAATAAAGAGGACACTGGAACAAATATAAGTCAAATTCTAGAGACATTGTGGTGCGTGAGGAATTGGGGAGAGAGAAAGATGACCTTGAGTCATTAAACTTGTGTAAACCAAGGAAAGGATCGTGTCTTTTTGAGAAAGAAAGGAGAACTGTTTAAGGGTGAAATGATGTGTTTGGTTTAGGGAATGTTTAGTGTGAGGCACCAGAAAAGCATACAGAAATCATAAAAATGGTACCTGACACTTAAGGGAGAGGAATAAGAGCAGATTTGGGTCAAATGCACAGAGAAGATAGCTGAAGTTGTGAGAGTAAGCAAAATGAAAAGATGGTCAAGGACCAATCCCTGGAAGCCTTCATCGATTAAGGAAGTAGGACTATAAAAGAGTAGATGGCAAAACAGTCAGAGACAGAGCCATCAGACAAGTTGAGGGGGGAAAAAAGCCAAATAACACCCAGCTTTAAGCTGAAAGCCAAGAGCTCCCAAAGAAATGAACACTGCAAAACAAAGTTACTTCCAATGGTTTTATAAGGTGCTATTGGACTTCCAGAGGCTAACATGGTACTTGAGGTTTCTTTTAAAATATCAGGCTATCATCAGAATATATACACCAAAAACCTGAGGGGCTGATATTTGCCTTTAAAAGAATGAAATGTGGAAAGAGAATTACGACTTTCTGCCAATTTGTTCCAGAACATGACCCCACATTACCATAATGGTTTGTGTGGCAATGCTTGCACTGGAAGTTCCTTTTTTTTTTTTTTAGATTTAAACTATAAAGACACAATTTTTGTATATCGCTCAAGCTCTAATTGTTGAACGGACCTGTGATGATTTCTACTTTTTAAAAAAACAAAGCTACATCTTTTTTTTCTCTTTATCCCCATGGGTAAAACATGACAATTTTTTCCAGTTTATATATATATAAGCTCCTCCTGGGATGTACTTGTTATACGACTTTATATGTGTGCATATATGTGTGAAATATATCATATGTAATACATACATATTCGATATTGCCTCCTTTGTGTCTTTGCAACAATAATCACTCTTTTAAACTTATGTACAATGAGGTAATAACTCACCATGGCATTTCAGAAATCTAAATCTTCACCGACCCCTCTTCCTGTCAAGCTGTGCTACTATTACTATGATTTAGTCTGACTTCAAGTCCTCAGTCTTTTCTAATCTGTACAGACAGACAACTGCTAGGACTTCTCGTTCAACAAATGTATATCTCTTATATATAAAGCTCTTATGCTTTGGCCATGAGACTAAGTGTTCAGAATGGATAAACTTTGTCCCTTGCACACACAGAAGGACTAGCAGTGAAGAACTTATACATGCTTAACTGTGATACAAGAATTATTGCTATGGAAACACCAAATGCCTGGTCCATTTCTTCACTACATTTCTCGAACCTCTTTCTAGTCTCCAAGTCATGGCCAAAATATTTGTCCAAGACCTCTTTACTGCTTACTATGAATTTTAGAACATTATTTTTTTAAACTTCCATTCCACTTGAATGGATCTTAAGGACTATCATCAAATTCAAGTTGATGCACCATTATAATTTAATCACTTAACATCTTCAAATCCCCATTGATGTCCCATTATCCTATAACTGTGGTATAATAGAAGGAGACCTGATTTGCTGTTCTGAATTTGCCAAAAACATGCTGTGTGAATAGAAATAAGTCACTCGCTTTTCTGAACTTCAAATCCTTCATCTATAAAATGTGTTAGATGTTCCTAACATGCTTGTCAACTCTAAAAACTAACATCTGTGAATACAGCCCACACTCTCCTACAACGGTGATAATTCTCTTTATCGTTGGTGCTAACCTACCTTCTGCTCTCAACCACTACTCTCTCTAGTGATGAAATATGTGTTTTTATGTCCTTCTCTGCCCCCTCACACACTCAGGACACACTGCAACTTCCTCTATGCCTATGTCACATATTTATTAAACTCCAACTCCAAAACTTGTGTTACTTTCTTTACTAAACATCCTATAATTCAAACTTTAAATCTTAGCTAACCCTAATTTTTAACTAACCTTAAATCCTAACACAACTACCACATAGTACAGTGTAAAATCCAATTCTTATAAAACTTTATATTTTTATTAAAATGCAACAGCCTTTTAATTTTAAAAAAATTTATATAATTCTAACATAGAAAAATGGAGATCTTTAAATGTCATGGTGGAATTAACTAGATTTTTCATATATAGGGGTTGTATCCATTTTTTATGTTTTATATACCCATAGTATATTAATTACATATTAGGAAACTTTACAGAAAGGTTTGCCGATATCTAATATAGGCTGTTTCTAAACTGATTTCATAAGTTTGATGGGTACCCAATCTGCTAATATATTTATTCTGCTAATATATTTTATTACCAGAAATTTACAGTACAGCCAAAGGGCTGGATATAAGATGTTTAATATCTACTTGCATTAAATCGTGAAAACACCATGACTTAGTTGGTTAACAAATCTGAAAAAATGGTTTTTTTGCAATTTTTTCCTGAGGAATTAATACAAACTCCATCAGTTTCGCCGAAGGTAAAAATATCAGCTCAAATTTTCTACCTTTAACTGACTATGGATTCCTTCAGGTTATCATACAAATTCTCCTTAAATCCTATTTTACATGAAGCAGGCCTCCTTACCAAGGGTCAGTTCTGGAACAGCATTTTAAGGTCAAACTCAGAGCTTTAAAAACACTGTACTTTATAGTGAATGCTTGAAGAACCAAATATCTAGAAGCTGAAAAGAAAATGAAGTAATTTTCATCCCACTCTGATAGAGGTATTTACATTCATCATATTGACCAAGCAATCATTACAGTAAACCCAAAGGGATATGCTGGCATCTGTCCACCTGAGAACTTACAGAATTAACAAACTTATTGTGAGTTACTCATGTGAAATATTGAACACCTCATTTCCACGCCATGTTGTATGGCACTTGTAATAACATAGAAGGACCTTTCTGAGATTTTGTTGAATATTTAACAGTTGCCATAGTCCTTGCAGTTATTAACTACATACATATCTCAGCAGAAGCACTCATATAAAGCAAAAACAGAGCTATGTCAACATAGGAGGCAAAATCTTGCAACATAGCAGTTTTAACCAAATGGTGCATGGACATATCCTAGGAATTTGAAAATTCTACTGTAAGAGGAGGAAGCATTAACATCCAATCATTAAACTGCATTCTGTGTTGTGATGAAAGAAACCATCCCAAGGAGATATTTCACTCTTATAATCCAGAAAAATTGTAAGTATATTTTAAAATATATACATACATAAACAATGGAAAATATTCAAACCAGATACAGCCTCTGCCCTTTTAAAAACTCTCCAAAGGCAATTATTTTTTGGTAAGATCCATTTCTTACAATAATACAAAACCCCAATTGTATACTACTTTATATTATTCCACAATAAAATTTTATATTTTGAGAGTACAGAGTATATTTTTATAATGTTTGCATAATAGTCAGCCATAGGAATCAAGCACAGTGGAAAATTTTGGTTGATTAGAGTCGAAACTATACGCACGCATGTACACACACACACACACAAATCATCTCTCTGTTAAATTTATAAAAATGTTCATATCTCATTAGGAAGTAAGATGACAGATTAATAATGCAGATGAGAGTCAAACATAGTTATAGCACATTAAGACAAATTGCCAAATTTAGTGAGTAAAAACAACAAAAATTGTGTAAATATTCTTTCTGCTTCATTTTTCAGGGATAAAGTAGGTGCTGATTTGTATCCTTAGGATTTCTTTATCGGAAAAAATACATTTTGTGGTCCTAAAGATATTTCTTCCACTCAAGTTTCAGCTTTTTGTTTCTAGTCTTAATGCAGATTGCTGACCAGGTTTTACACCCCTCCTTATCAATTTAAAAGCAACAAAATAAAGCAAAATATTTCTTAGGAAAAGTTTGACACACAACCAAAAGAAAAGCTTTAAATGTAAAAGAAGTGATCAAAGTATAAGATAGTCTTGTAGTTAAGGAATAAAAGTTATGCTAACAGCTTATTCATATAAATTATGAGAAACAGAGATAGGAGGTTTCACAATAAATTAGAAATAAGAGTTTGGAACGAGAAATAAGGGGAACACTCCATATTTGCTATGGACATAAAAATACGGTATATTTGCAGATATGCTAAAATACTAAAATTAATTATACCCTTGCTTGTTCTGTAGAACCATCATATAGCTTTAAAGATAACAAGCTGCCCTCTGTGTATTCCTTACAATGGGATGGATTTAAAAACTATCTTATCTTTGTCAGATTTCAAGACATTCTCTAGTTTTCAGAAAGGTGTTTTGGAAAGCACGTGGTGATAATAATGGTATTTTCCTATTAGAACCTATTCACTCAACCACCATGGAGAGATAGTTTACTATATAGAAAGTGCTGTGCTGGGGTGGTATGGAGGTATGAAGATAAATAAGACGTGATCACTCTTCTCAAGAAGCCTGACTCCACAGGAGAAATTTATTCAGTGAGAGAACCCTGTTTAAACAGGGGTCTAATTTGCAGCGATCAAAAAGCTTTATTCAGATTACAACTTTATATTTTCCCCCAGAATATGTTTATATAATGTGTTTGGTTTCCCACAGAGTCAGAATTTGCTTTGAATGTTTAATGTATATCTGACTTTTACACCCCCCCATATATATAATCATATAAGTGGGGAGATAGATACATATGTGTATTCATATATATACACATATTTCTTAAAGAGATATCCCTTATGCTTAATTGAAAATAACTGAACCTAACTTTATTATATATATGGTCTCTTGGTTGTACTATATATTTTGATTTTTTTCCCATTTATCATTTTAAAGTTTCAGAAACCAACTTCATTTACTATAAAATTTGGAAATCATTAAATAGGTGTCACTTATTATTATAAATAATTATCTTTGTCCTATTTGAAAATGACAGAATTTTGTGCATTTTCATTTTTTGAAGACTAGTGTAAGAGAAAGAAAATGTAATAGAAAAATTTTTTGTTACATCAATGAAAACTTCATGAAAATTAGAAAAGTGTAATAGCCTTACCGAGATTTTAAGGCGAAAAATAATTCTTTGTGTTTGCACTATCATTACAGTTAGAAAATAATTTGTTTCTGTATCAAAACTACTTATATTGCATCTCAACAAAACTACCACAAATAAAAATTTAAATGTCTCTGCTAATAACTAATGTTACTTTTTATAATTAAAAAATATTCTATATCATAAGTAGTTTTGGCTTTTATATGAAAGAATAGCAAGCATTAAATATGGAACTATATAATCAACTTAAATAATATAATGTTTTATTGCTAACATCATTGTGAAATACTGAAATAGCTCTAAAATTTAGTGTATTTTCAAAATAAATAGCATACCTGTTTAAAATGAAATTTAAACATATGCGTTTATTTTCATAAGTCAAGTTTTTCTGACTGGAATAATTTATTTAGAAACTACTTTTGTAAATCACTGAAAGTTACAGTTTTATGTTAAACAGATATTAAGCCAAGACCACTAAATTAATTTTCCCCTCTAGTGCTGCAGCAAATCACTATTAATACCATTGCTTGTTAATATGAAGCAAAACAGATGTTTTTCTCTACAATTGTATTCTGAAAATAGAGAAATGCATATTATAGTTTTTATATGCCTGAATAAGAGTCAACTTTCATGCTTTGTTAAACTTTCCAGTAATTCCTAAATGATAATCTTAAATACTTTGAAAAACAATTTTTATATTATCTATGAGTTCAAGTTTATTTTTTATTTTGGGGTTCTCCTTTTTATAAAGTTATCGAAATGACCAAAATTTCGCAAGTATAGTGATGTGCTACTATAATGTCTGAACTTCTCAGGTCATTTAGCTCCTCCTCTTCTTTCTGAATACATATGTTCTGTCTGCATATATAAAAGTTCATGTCACCATATTTATTAAACTGTGGTGTGTTGGAAAGAGCATTTGATCTGGAATTATATTACATTTCCAGACCTACCTCTAACCTTACTTAGCTGTGACATATCTTGGTTACATCATCAGTAAAATGCTGACAATAACTCCTGTATATCACAATATTTTTGTGAATATCAAATAAGATTATGTAGAGAGAAACCTAGTCAAATGTAATGTTCTTTAGAGAAGAAACGAACTTGCACTATCTCTCTACACTTGACAAGTAACCCAACCATTTGAAATCTGCCTCTTAATCCCGAAGAAGATACCACCAGGGAAATTTTGTGGCTTCTAGCTAATGCCTAGGTCGCTTCTTTAAAAAAAAAGAAAAGAAAAGAAAAAGAAAAAAAAAAAAATCCAAACCCACTTCTAGCCCATTCAACCTACCTCCTTTTTTTTTGTCTGTAAAGGCAATTTTGAAAGTTATTCCGTCCTCAACCTTTAATACGAGGTCTTAATGAAAGTTGCCTTTCTACATGGTTCTCAATGTTTGGTCCAGGGCCAGCAACTTCAGCATCACCCCTAGAACTTGTTAGAAATGCAAATCATGGGCCCCACCCCAGACCTACAACTGAAGCAGAAACTCTGGGGTGGGGCCCAGCAATTTGTGTTTTCACAAGTCCTCCAGGCAATTCCGATGTACATTCCAGTTTGAAAATCACTGCGGGTAGTCCCATCTGTATCCATCTATATACGGTCCACGAGTCCGGATTCCCAGACATCTTCACTTAACTCTGCTTTTGACTTTTCACCACCCTCTCTAATAGAACACCACGCGATCCCTCCTGGACTGAACATAAGCCCTGAACTGATCGATAGGATTGAGAGGAAACCCAGAAACTGCTCCCAAAACACAACACTTTCTCAGTGCCAACCCCTCATCATCCTCAGCATCAGAGCCAAAGCATCCAGCCGTCCTTTCTCTGCTCCAGCCTTCCCAAGGGCCAGGCGCCAGGGGGAGATGCGCACAAAAACTAAGTGTGCGCTCTCCTCACCCTTTTGCCAGGAGACGGATCAGGGGTGGGTCCTGATTACCTGCACAAGAGTCATCTGCGAGCCGAGAGCCAAGAGTATCTTCTCCGTCTTGGTGGGGTACGGGTTGTCACGGTGCTTGTAAAGCCACTGCTTGAGGGGCCGCGCCATGTCTTGCAGGGCCTGCCGCTTGTGCCTCACCTTCCCTCCGTTCTGCCGGGCCCTGGGACACAGGGGGAGGAAGAGGCCCTGGTGAGCCGCACAGTCTGGGCGCAGCTCGCCGGCGTCCCCGATACAGGGAAGCTTTTCAGCCGCCGCCAAGCTCCCACCCGGCACCCCAGGTCACCCAGCCCCACCGGCACGCCACGAGGCTGGGGCGGAGGAGCCACACAATTTCTGGGTGGGGATATCTGTTTATCAGCATCTCTCTTTAAAATGGTCTGGTTGTCGCAGGGGGCTCATATGGCAGTGAAAGACGTTATGTTTCTCTTGAAAAGGGGGAAATCTTGAAGCCAGTAACCCGAGGTTAGGGGTTTAGGTGACAATGGTTAAGCGATTTGAAGGAAATGTTATTCAAACTACAGATCTGAGCAGCAGGGCTGTCACCCTTCCCTCGCCCGCCTGCACTGCACCCTCCTCGAGTGGCCCTGGCCTCGCGGGCCGCATAGAGGTCGCTGCCGGCTCTTGAACGCTCTTTCAGGGAATTCATGCCTGCGTCTCAGGCCTTCCCGTTGCCTGTGGTCAAAGGAAAGGTCGCCCACTGGACGGCGGAAGTAAAGCAAGGCGTGATGGCCACCCCGCTCCCCTGGTTCTCTTCGAGATCTCTCCGGTTTCCTTTGATACTTGGGGAAGGGAGAAACTTTCCAATGGAAGGGTTCGTGGAGGAAGAATGTCGAACCTAAAAACACTCTAGGGGTCTTTTCTCGATGAGAGTTAAAAAGTCTGGAAAACTCTGTCCCATCAACTAAAGTAAAAAGATCTCGGGAAAAGCATATTTCAAAGAAAAGACAAGCAGCCTGCAGCTCAACGTTGGGCGCTGCGCTCCCAGGCGGCTCCGGGAGGTGTCGCCGCGCGGCCGCCCGCGCGCACCGCCACTCCCGGAGGCTCGCGCGCCTGCGCCGCAGCCTCGGGGCCTTTGCCTCTTTAAACACTTTGAAATGCAATTCCATCCAAACGGACTGGTAGTAACATTTTGACGAAACCTAATCTCTATTTTACTAACCAGCAGCGCGGCAGAACAAGCAGCTGATGCAATCTTTCAGGTGGAGACGGCCAGGGCGGCCGCCCCTCCCCAACCCGGCGCTCCAGGAGCCACCAAGAGGTGGCCCGGCTAGAGACCGCCGTCCACGCGTCTGCAGCCCACCCGCGAGCTCTCCTTCCCCTCCGCCGGTCCCACCCCAAGCAGCCCCTCACCCTGCTAAACTGACATCCGGTAGGCCCGCATCCTCCCCTTTCCGTGCGCATCTATGACGCCTTGCGAAAAGTCGACCTTCCCAACACCTTGGAGAAGGCAAGGAGAGCCGCGAGGCGGTAGAGAGGCCCTGCCGTGACAGGAGAGGGGATGCTCACGGGGCTAGCTTGACTTGGGAAGCCCCGACTGCTTGGCTCTGCCATGTTCCTACGCTTCCTGCTCAGTCCTTTCTACCTGGCGTTCAGCCGCGCGTTTGCGACCGTGGTCCGGAGAGGGACAGGTAACCCACCACCCTGAGGTCCAGGTATGGGAGGACTGCGGGGGCAGTCCCAGGTGTCCTCAGTTTCCAACAAACCTCTTTTGAGATGTCTTGACGAATGAATCCCCTCATATTTTGAGAAACCACAACCTTAAAATGAGAACGTGCCAAACCAGGACGCGGAGACCTGCCCTCTGGGGAAACTCCGCGCCCCTAACCCGCCGGCCCCAGTTGACACTCTCACGCCTGCGCCGCTCATTGCCCCAACCCCTCTGGGATGCGGGCGGGCAGGGGTCCCAGGAAGGTGCGCATACCCGGTCCTCCGGTGTCTCAGGCCGAGGTTGTCCTTGAGGGGCGGGCCGTCGGGAATGCCCATCTCAGGGCGGACGTGGGGACTGTCCAGGACGCCACCATAGGGCCGGCCGCCCCGCTCCCGCTCCGGAACGCTGCGGTCCTCAAAAAGCACGGCGCCGCCGAGCTTGTCGAAGACAATGGTGTTCATGGTGCGGGCTGGGAGGGGCGCCCGGCGCGGCCGCAGTGCCTCGGAGCGGGGCCGCCGGGAGCTCCGCAGGGCTCGGGTTCTAGGAGATGAAGGTGCATTACGTTACTAGCTGAGAGCGCTCACACCCTGAGCGATTCGAGCCCCGAACTTGGCCGAAGCGCAGGGACTGCGGAGTCTAGGGGAGGAGCGGCACTGCCGCACCTGATCCAAGGGACTCGCGCCTCTCTGTACCTGGCTACGCCGCTGCCCACCCACCCCCCACCCTGCACACTCTGGGCACAGGTCCCTACTCTCCACCTTGTCCCGGCAATCTGGCCCGCAGGGCACTTCAGTCAGAAATGGTGTGCCCGCGGAGGCAAAGAAAAATAATTTCTTAAATGAGCCTTCCTGCTTGAGTTTTAATCCGGACGAAGCACACACCAGATAGCGGAGCGGGATCGGCGCTGGGTCCCGCGTTTTCAGTCACAACTGTACTAAATTTAGGATAACATGAACGACCGCATCCGCAGGCTCCAGTTAATGAGTCCCAGGCCGTACGGGGATTTCTGGGAGTTTCATGTTCTCTAGATTCTGGATAGTTTGGCTGAACCTCCTGCGTCTTTATTCAGGCTAAGGTCCCTGGGGGTGGGAGTTGAGGGCAGGGAAAGTTAGCAGACTCCAGAGCTAGGAAGTTAACTGGCGTCAGTGGCAGATGCACCACATACTCCCTCTACCCCCAAGTCTTCCTACCATCCCCCAGCCCGCTCTGGGACGTGCAGGGTCCCGGCAGGTCAAAGGCGCGGGACCTCGGAAGCCCGCTGTCAGTGTGGTCCTCTTCTGCAGCGCGGGTGTGAGACTCCAACTCTGAGCCTTTCCACACTCGCCCCTTTCTGGGGTCTTGGGGAACCATTTCAGTGGCTGCAAAGGTGTTAGGAGCGGAAGGCATCGTGGTCCGCGCACCGTCCGGCCTGCTGCTGCCACAGTCGGAAAAAGCCTCCAGCTCACCTCCCGTGTGGTGTCGGCAGGGAGCCTCTGCCCGCCGCGCGCAGGCGTCAGGGGCAAGTCCGCGCCGCCGCCTAGCAGCCGAGTGACCGCCCCGAGGCGCGCGGCCGCCTCAGCCCGCCCCATCTCCCCGCCTCGCGACTCCGGGCAGCTGGCGTTCTTTTCGAGCCACCTCCGCTTCCCTGCCAGCGCCCTTCACTCCGCCCCTCTGCTGCGTGGGTTGTCACCCCCACCCAGGCACAGATCCTCTGCCCCACCGAGCGCCCACTCCGCCAACGCCCCCACCCCGCCCTCCAGCCACCACAGCAGCCGCCACGCGTGACATTCAGGGCCGTGACCACAGCGATTAAATGAGGTTCCCGTCAGTATTCGTAGGGAGGAGAAGTCAGACCTCTGCTGGCGGTCCCGCGTCCCATAAGAATGAGTCCTCCCGCGCAGACAGGTACGTGTCTGGGGTGTAGACACATACAGCCTTGGCGATATGTGTGAAAGCAAATGTCTGTGCTCGCAGCCCCGGTTCGAAGGTCAGGACTCCCCTTGTTTTTTTTTCTTTTAAATCCGTGTGCTTATTGCTTTGCGTTCACACTGCTCTGTTTGTAAAACATACTCCATTTCAGCCCCGCGCCTCCCCCCGCCCCAGCCTTGTCCTCCTCTATGCAACGGCGTGTTTCCCAACGAATCCGTCCCGAAGTATGGCAGAGCGGGCCCTTCCCTGGCTGCCCCCAGCCCGCACAGAAATGACAACCACAAACACCCGGCGCGGTCGGGTCCGCAGGCAGCAGGCGCGGTGGGACTGGGAGGCAAAGGTCCAAGGGCTGGGTGCTGACGCAAGGGGTCCCGGGGGCGAGCGAGCCGCGGCTCCTAAGCTTCTCTGGGAGCCCACACGCGGTCCCCCACGCCTCTTCTCGGCTCCTGTGCTCCCCACTTACCCCGATTCACTCCAAATTGTCACTTAGGGAGCTTCCTCTTGGCGGAACCGCCCCGCCCCACGCCCGCGAACAATTTTAAGGCAAAGGAGGCGCGGCCAGGTGGGGGCTCCCAGGCTCCTAGCAGACCCTCCCGCCAGCCTTGGCCGCCGAAGGCGGTGGGGGAAAGGGCGGGGGTCTCCGAGGAGCCCGCGTCCAGATGGAGCCTCCGATCCCGCGACCCCGGGCGGGGACTCGGCGACGCGAGGGTTGTACCTGGGACAGTGGGACCGGCGGCCGGCGGCAGGGCGGCTGGCTGTCCCGCGTCGAGGCTAGGCGCACTCCCATCCCCGCCGCATGTTCTCCGCGCGGGCTCCAGCGCGCTCACCGCCGCCACCGCCGTCGTCTCGGCTTTATTTACCCAGACGGGCGCGCGCGGCCCGGGAACAGGAATACCGAGGCCTTCTCATGTTTCCTGACTGCCTGGCCCAGCCGGCGAACATCCTGCGGGCGCGGTATCCACGTTCCCGGGCCGGCGAGAGGAAGCCTCCGCGCCCGCCCGGCCGCGGGTACTTCAGTTAACCCTAGCAGAGGAGCAGCCGCTGCCGGCGCCGCTGGGGAGCCCCCGGCCCGCGGAGTCTTCCCAGCCGGGCGCGGCTCCCAGCCCCGCAAGGAGACTACTACCTTCGCACTTAGGGAGGAAATTGGAGAAGCCTCGAGTAGCGCCGGGCTCCGGCTCTTCGATCTGAAAGGCTGCGGTGCAAATCCCGTGTCTTAGCTGGCCCAAGTGTAGGAAATTTCACGAGTGGCTGGGCGGGAGAGACCACTACAGCGTGCCCTTAATTTTCCTCGCGGTTAGCTGGAGTCAAGTTCGAGTTTGGGTTTGCGCCTACAACGCGAGAGAGCCTTTTGCAGGAGGCGCTTGAGCCCCAGGAGCCTCTTTTCTGGTGTCACTGGGCTTCTGAGATCTTAGCTGTCTCAACGCCAGGCACACGTTCAGCTTCCGAGGCTGGAGAGGCTGTGCTCGCCTCCAGGCATAGGGGTGGAGGGAGGCAAGGCTGCGACGAGCGAGCCCAGGTATCCACCCCACGATGACCCAGATGTGGAAGAGAGGGCGAGCCCCGGGCTAGGGATCTGCACGAAGCAAAGTGAACGGAATTTAGAAGAATCCCGAGCGAGAACGCGGTGCAAGGAGAAAGAATGGCGATCAGATCCTCTTATTGATACTTGGCTTCCCACCGTCACTCCAAATATAAGAGTAACGAACCTGTGGTTTAGGTGCAACTGGGAGCTCAGACCTTCTGGCAGCCTAGAAGATCGTCAAGGCGCGGAGCACCAAGGCGCCCGCGTTCTCGCCGCGGGCCTCCCTGCTGCAGCGACACCTTTCATCTTTTTTAAAGAGCGAAAGTAGATTTACCCAAACCTGAAAGTCATAGCATCGTTTGTCCTTTCTCTCCTCTCAAGGTGGCTGGCCAGCGCTGGGGCAGTGGCCCACCTAAACATCTTCCTTTTATACGGCTTAGAAGCGGTTAAAATATATACCGAAGCTATTTTTTTCAAAGACTAACCAGACCCCCGAATTTTGCATTATGTTATCTCCCAAAATACGTGGCAGCAAATCGGACAGTGGCACAATCTAAAGCAGAAAGGGACGTAGGTTTACATTTTTGCTCATCAAGCAGACAAATATTATCATTTGATCACGTTTGCCGATTTTCTTGGTTCTCTTTCATTATATAACTTGCGGTTGCAGCGGAAGAATCTTGTCATTGGCGCTGCACTTGACTTGCTATGATGTGGGTTCAGTGCAGACATCGGTCTGCAAGCCTCGCTGTAGGGACTTAATGTCAGGGATACATCATAGAGTTTCAGCTACAGAGTTGCAGCGACTAAGTTTTACAACAAAAGCAGTTCTAATTGATAATTTACAGGAGGAAAGAGGCCTGTTCCCTTCTATGATCTCTATGACTGATGGCAGTCACCAAACATGATAATGAAATCAGCTGTAACACGCCGCTCTGACATGCATTTTGGTCAGCTATGCTAGGTAAAGCAACAGGCATGTATGCAGTTGCTTACTGTTTCACTGACTTATGGAGCTGTATGCTCTAATATAGGCAGTTATAGGACAAATGAATTTTGTTGTTTTAGTCTTAACTGTACTTACACAATTTTAAAATGCATTTAGAGAATTTTGAATTAAGATATAGTTACAAGTAAGATTTGTTTCTTTTTAAATCTGATATAAAATATACAATAACAATCTTTCTTAAAATGTTTTATTTTTTTTAGTATAGGAGTAACATATACCTTGCTCTCAGATAAGTCGTTGGAAAATTAATATATGAGAATTCTTTTAGACAATAGTTTAGTCATTAGAATGCATTTAAAATTGAAAGAACAATGGAGAGTCCACTTTAAAATGAAATTGTGTGGAGAATCCCTTTCAAATATAGAAATGAGCATGAATTTTTTGATAGACCAAAATTTTATTTTTGTAAGTTTTATCCTTTTTGCAAGAGTGAAATATCTTCTTCATTTTAATCCACCATTCAGATACATTTATCATGACCTTAAATGTCACCTTTTCCTAAAATGAATTTTATTCAGCTTCTTATGCTACCTCCCAATCTCACTAAATGAAATGCTGTATTATAATCCTCAGAAGTAAAACTTTCAATTTTAGAAAGATTTAAGAAAGTGGATGTAGTTTGTGGGAGATGGCCATATGTAAGAGAGAAAGAAAACTTAGGCCGGAAGTCAGAAGACTTGAGCCCTAATCTTAAATTCTGGTTAATTTGATGTTGGTTTAGCCTGAATTTACTAAAGTGTAAAATGAAGTTGATTCAGTTTTCTACAAATTTGCTTTACATTATTAAGATATTTTTTAAAATGTGAAAGCTAAGTATTGCTAAAGCTAGAATAATGTTAAGAACATTTAGCAGAAATCTAAATTTATTCTATTGTACTTCTAGTATAGTTATAAATATAAGTAATTTTTACTTTCTAATAAAAAAAAGAAACTTTAATTTTTAGCGTTTCGATATTTTACCAAGGAAACTGACATTTCAGAACAAATATTTGTCAAAATTTTTGAAGGTAATGATTGTTTTTAAACTCTCTTTTTCCAGTTATTACTTATAGGCAATGAAATAAATCAGAAAGTCAGAGAATGACTATCACTTCCCATTCGAATGGTGTAAAATAGGAAATTTAGGATCAAATAGCAGATTCACCTCACACTTGGCTAGTGGGAGAGATACATACTGGAGTGATAAGTAGAACAACATAACAAGTGGTGAAAGACACAGCTGCAGGAACATTATGAGCGAATTAGTAGACGGGGTGGCCCCCAAATATCTCACAAGCCATTTTTGCTTTATACTTTAATCACAGAATAAATTCTCTCAGAGAAGGTCTTCTTCATAAATTTCACTCTGAGCAATCAAGAACAGAGTACGAGTCAAACTTTCTCTTCAGCCAGCTCCACCCAATCACATTTCTCAGAGGCGAGCCCCCAGAGGTGGCCACCGCTGGTTCATGTGCATCCTTAAAACCTTTTCCTATTCATTCGCATACGTGAATACAAGCAAAACATTATAGTTTCGTTTTATGAGTTTTTTTAAATAAATGAGACTATATAGAAGTGTTTACATACAGAGTATTAAACTAAAACTTACTTTTTCACGCCATGATTTCATAGAGAACTTCTGTAATAGCACATATAAATGTAATTCCTTCTTTTTAAGCATTATAGAATGTTCCATCATCCATTCAGACATTCCCCTATGAATGTTTCTGTCTTTTCAATTTTCACTATACTGAACATCAAATGTTCTTGTATATGATTCTTTTTGCACAAATGTAAGTACTTCTCTAGAAGTAGTTACACAGATGTAGAATTGCTGGGTTGAAGGAAACATGATTTAAAAATTTTGATAGATACTTCTAAATTCCCTCTAACCTACACCCCTACTAACACATGAAAGTCCCCATTTCTTTTATGCTTACACAACATTGCGCATGTTCAGTATTCATAATGTTCACCTAAATGTTGAGTAAAATAATGTCTCATTGTTAGAGAACCGTTTCATTTACTTATAACATTTTCATTTCTTAATTGAAGAAATTTGCTTATATCCACTGCTTACATCTTTATAAGATGTCTTATAATTTATAAAGGTTCTTCGTAAATCACTTTTTCCATGACTTATATGTTTTATACATTGCAAATATGTCACCTGGTCTAAAGTCTGCCATTTACCTACTTTGTCTTTTGTTTTACTGAAGATTTAAATGTGAGTATAAGTCAATAAGTCTGTCTTTTCCTATATGAATTCTGGGTTTTGTATCTTCCTTACAAAGGCTTTTTCTATGTTTTCTTCCAATACTTTAAAAAATTGTTTTCACTTGGCTTTTTAATCCTTCTGGAATGAATTTGTATGTATTGTGAGGTAGAAATCTAATTTGATGTGTTTTTTTCTCCAAATGAATGCCTGGTTATTTCTAGGGCATTTATTAAAGAGTTTTCCCCCATTGATTAGAAATAACTTTTCTCATATACGTGGTGAATTCCTTTTCATATGTCGATTGCTCTAACAAGGCTTTGAGAAGTGTTGCGAAACATCAAGACTATAATAAATTTACAATAGACTTCAAAATTTTAAAACCATCTTGTGCTCCAAAGACTTTCAATATTAATCTGTTCTAATTTCAGGACACGTCAATTATTGAAATAGTAATGTGCATTGCCTGGTTATAGTTCTAATTTAGAAGGCTAATTCAATACTGTTCCAGGATGAAGTTATCGTTTATTCTGTCCTTGTCCCACTCAAAAGCAGAAGAGCAATTTTAAGCAGCCATATTCTCCAGAGCAGAGTACGGCTGCGCAGAGCTCCCAAACATGTCAGATGACAAAGTGAGAACTGACCCTGAGCAATACGAGATTTGGAAAAGTGATGAACCCTCGCATCCATGATTTGAAAGAGTAAATTGCATCTTCTTGCTCAATTTTTGATGGAATGGGAATTAATATTTTTCTAGAAGCAGCCAGGATGAGAACCTTTGATATAATTGTATATTAGTCAAATTCGCTGTGGTCAGAAGTGCAAGTTGTTTGTCCTCACCATTTCTAAAAATCATGAGCTACATGTAAGTGCAGAAAATACAAACAATAAGCAGTTAGTAGAGTTGAGATCTAGGTGGGTTAGTGTCTTATACGACTTCATAGAGCTTGAGACAGGACCTGAATTAACCTGGAGCTCCAACACCCGATCTTTTCCTTTGACACCAAAGTATCAGGAACTTCCAATTACTGAGTCTACTACTTACATGCAAATGCACTATATACTGGCATTCTGAGGGGAAACTGGAGAATGTTTCATCCTCAAAACGTGCATCAAAATACTAGATTCCTTCCAGAAGATTAATCTATCTTGAACATCACTTTGCCTTTACATCAGAAAGTGGCCATTTTAATAAATAAAATGAAGAATTTCATCGATAGGTTAGTATCAGTCTGTATTTTTAACCTGTTAGACTTTGGGTACTCAATAGATTTTTTTAAGATTTAACTTACTCTATGTACTTCATGCTGTGTTAAGTTTTTGGTTGACCCCCACCTTCCGTTCCAAATTCATCTTCCCTGCTTTCATCATGTATAGAATATCTGAATAAATTCACCAAAAGAATGCATGTGAGCAAAAGTGATGTGCGCAACTTCTGCTTCATGTGTTTGAAAATAAATTGCTTGTCTTCCTTTTTAACTCTTCCTTGTTACCAAGGGCTGGAACGTGGATGTAGCAGTGACCTACATCCACTGATTAGATAAAAGCCAAAGAACAGCAGAACCTCAAGATGAAAGGAACCTGGGGCCTTGAATAAAACCACAGGGTCAGAGCTCCCCAGCTCAGGCTCAGCAAACTCTCTCTGTAAAGGGCTAGATAATAGTAAATGTTTTAAGACTTTGTGAGGCATACTCTCTGTTGAAGTTACTCAGCTCTGCCATTGTAGTGAAAAAGCAGCCCTAGACAATGACTTGACTATGAATGAATGCTTGATTTGAATGAACGGATACTTGGCTATGAATGAGTCAATGAGTGAATGTTGCTGTGTTCCAATAAAAATTTATTTAATGGACTGAAGTTTGAATTTTACATAATTTTAGTGTGCCACAAAATAGTAATCTTGTTTGATTTTTTTTTTTTTTTTTTTAGCCATTTAAAGATGTGAAAACTATTCTTATCTCAGAAGTAGAAACAAAAACAGGCTAGATTTGACCAGTAGTCTGAACTAGACTACTTATCTCTGGACTGTTGCAGGGAACAAATGATATTCCCCTTATTTAAGTCACTATGTTTTGGGGTTTCCAGCCTGTATCCTATGTGATGCACACCTATACAAAGATGATCTTAGTTACCACAGATGAGCTTAACAAAAGTGCATTTTAGAGGACTAGCAGCTGCCACAAGCAGGGGGAACTGCAGAGGAGATGGAATAAAAAATACTTTTTCCCCTCTCTTTCTGAGAATATGTTGCATGTGTTTAGAGAATCGGCCTAATTGTTTTTATAATAATTTTTGATTCTATGTTGTTGTGTTTTTTTTTAATTTTAACCATTTTTTTAAGGTACCTATACACATTCAAACATAGTTTTGGTGTTTGAGATTTTTGTTGTCACGGAAAATGGTGATTCATTTTTAAGAATTATTATTTTTTGGTTCACTCCCTTCCTTCCAAAAAAAAAAACAAACATACAATTGAAACTACTCTCTCATTGTTTTCTTTTTGATAATCAACAATAAATGTTTATGGGGCACCTGCACACAAAATCCTGTGCTAAGAACTACATCAAATTTGATTTAAAAGACACGACTCTTGCCTAGCTTACAAACCTGTTAAGAAAGCACAGGGAGACAAATATACCTCATCTAGGACATTTTAGGATATCTGATATAAAGATTGCTTGAATCCAGTAAATCTGTAAATCATCTGTAGAAATAAATGCATAAGGGAGCTTGAAGATGATAGAAGGGCCATTTTATGTGTCTGCTAAAATTTTGTAACCATATTCCTGACATCCTTCCTGAAAACATGCATAAAGAGATCATTATTTCAGAAATTTGAGCCTGATTGAAAAACAGCATTTTCATCAGACTTTTTCAAGTTTTATGCCAAAAACCTCTGGGTTTCCAGAGAAATTTTTAGGTCTTCCGTTGGAAAAAAAAAATACAGTAGGAGTAAACACACTGAGGTTAGCTCATGATCTTTCTTTCCCCTTCCCTTGTCCAGGCCTTCCTTGAACCTGTGTTGGGTCTTCCACTCTTATGCTTCTCTTGTGGAAGAGTGCAGAAGGAAGAGGGGTATTGGAGGGGAGCAGCTGTGAATAAAGTTGTCATGTGTGGCAGTGTATTGATTCTTGAGGCTTATACAGAGACGCCTCCACTGCACCGCCTCACCCCCAGCACAAGAAAACTAATTCTCGCCCACGTATCTGGACCACAGAACCACAGGAAGGCAGCTGGTGGGGAGGTAGAGGTCAGGTCTGCACCCGAGACTACACAGTGACACTAAGTAATTAGTTATCTCTTTGTTTTGATATTCACTGATCTCTGCTGAGTGTGCTTGATGTTGTAAGCTACCACAAATCCTAATTTAGAAGGGAGTTTGGGCTAAGAGAAAGGGCAAAGGAAAAAGATGTCATGTCAATGCACTCATTAAACAGCCCAAAGTCTAGGATAAAGGGAGCCTCCCAATCTCCAAATGTCATAATTTTTTTTCTTGGACCTGCAGTACTAGTGAGCTCAAGACATATGTCCTGACACTGCCCTCCAGACTCTTATAAATGGGGACATAATTAAGGACATTTAAAAAATTCGCATAATATGCATACAGCATTTACTACATGCCCACACACTATTCTAGACACTTAACCCATATAATTCTCACAAGCACCCTTTGGGGGTAAGTACTCATTAATACCCATTTTGTAGAAGAGGACACCGAGGCACAGAACAGCCCTAAATCACAAGTAGATAATTAGTGGAGCCAGAATTTGAACAGAGCCAGGCAGATGCTGGAGCTTCAGATTCAAATTATGTCGCCTCATCGAAGGTACATAGGAAAGACAGAGAAAAAGAACTTCAAACACTTGATGCGTAATTGTAGGCACAGCTAACTATGGAGTAGCACACTTTTGGCTCCTCGCTTAAACTTCAGGAAGAAGTTCAATGCCAACGTGTTTGTTTTTCCTAGGTGGGAAGCAAGTAGAATCTGTGCCGCCTGGAATATGATGACTTTGCATAGCTCCGATATCATGGGTAAAAAGGCTGTACTTCATTTTAATCTTCATGTGTGAGCTCACACTCAAAAGTCAATAACTGCTGAGTCTTCTGAGAGTTCTTTTTTTATTATTATTAAATTTATTTGGGTTACATTGGTTAATAAAATTATATAGGTTTCAAGTGTACAATTCAATAATACATCATCTGTATATTGTGTGTTCACCCCCAAAGGCAGATCTTTTGTGACCATATATTTCTCTTTAAATCTGGAGAGCATTCTTCCCACTGGGCAATGAAGTGGCTCAGCAGTGAAAACAACACACTCTGGAGTCACACCAGCAATCCTGAAATGTCGCTTTATTGCAGGAGCAGGCACATCATGACCATAAGTGACATGTCACGGGTGAGGAGAAAACCAGTAGTAGTTTTAAGAAGTTTAAGGGGATGATAGTTGTCTCTACCACTTCACAGTCTTCTTCTTGCTGTTTTATCTCTGTTTTGTTTTGTTTTGTTACGTCTTGTTTTCATTTGTTATAGTTGTCAGGCCTGCCTCTCACATTTGTGGAGCCCAAAGCAAGAGTACAAACGAATGCCCACATACCATATGTCTAAATATTTAAATGTTACAAATCAAGCTGTTAATTGTTCATAATTGTCTATAAATCAAAACACTGTTATCTAAAATATGTCTCATCCTTCTATCTCGACAAATATACTATTATAATGAAAAATCGAAAACTGTAAAGTTATGATTTGTGTTGGGAAAATATCAAAGGCAAATAAGTTTAATTGTTATTGCACATGTCCAGATGTTTTGTTGTTGGGCTGGCATTGTGTAGATGAGTAATAAAATGGAAGAGACATAATTCATAGCTTATTATGTATTTTATTCCATTCAATTTATTCTTGTCTTTATGTCAGCAAAAATCACTAATTGTATTATTATCATCAATATTCTGTCATAATTTGTGTTCTAAAAGATTACAAATAAAATGTAATTCTATTTAAAGTGTATGCAACTTGAATATCTTTTTATCAAGAATGTACGTTAAAACAAATATAAGAAATTTTAAAGTTAAACTTATTTTAACATATATTGTTTATAAAATGCTATTTTTATTAGAAAATACTCAAAGTACACATAAAGTTAAAATAGAAAAGAAAAAGTATAATTAATGTAAGATTTTAATAAAGCTGAAATTGCACTTAATGTTTTGAAAATGAATTTAAAATATTTTATATAAACAAATTATTCGCAGTGCTAGTGTTCAATGCACAGCTGGTTGTCAATGTAGAGTATTGGTATCAGATTTCATGAATGGTTTGTCTAGATCTACATACTTACCGATTTAGGAGAGGTATGAATTGTTTAATATTGTAAATGTTCTCTTTTTTTGCCAGCTGCAACTATTGCAAAGATTCACTAAATATTGAATACCTCAGAACCGTGGACTGGAGAAGCAAGAAAAACATGCCAGGCACCGCTTGGAAACGACACTGCATGAGGTAAAGATATATTGCATACAGGGGATCTGCTGAGTTGATTAATTTGTCTTTCTTCCTGTTCTTGGAAGCAGTATTCACCTCCAGTGCTTTTAGTATCACATCCCAAGCCTTTGTAACATTTGGATGTGATCACCTTTTACCTTAAGGATGTAATGGCAGACGAGGTATAGTAGCATTTCCGTGGGCCCTGAATGGCGTTAGTCACAGAACAGATGTTTGGGTTTAAGGTTGCACTACATCCTGTTGAGTGCTAAATCCCCAATGACAGAGGTATCATGTGTTCTTTAATACATTTACCTGTGTGTGTGTGTGTGTGTGTGTGAGAGAGAGAGAGAAGAGAGAGAGAGAGAGAGAGAGATCTTTTAAGGAGAAGGGTTCAAGGCAGTGGCCCTTTGCCTGGATCTAAGGGTGGTACTGGTTGTTGGGAATGTTTTTTAAATGTTCTGTGTGTATGTTTGCGTTTACTTACCTTTTAATTTATTTTAAAAGGTTTATTAAATTTGGTCACTCTGTGAATCAAAATGAAATCATGCTTACCAAAGCCCTTTTATGAGTTCATGGTCTTAATGCACACACACCGCAGCATCTGAAGTTACAAAAAGCAGGGTCGCTTTTAAAACCCTCTCAGGGCCGCGTCCATTTTTAAGGGGGGCAATTATTACGGAATCATTTTTTAGGAAGTGATGTCTTCACTGAAGGTCAGAGGTTTATACATTGGGCAAGGTCAGT